AATAAATAAATAAATAAATAAATAAATAAATAAATAAATAAAAATAAAATTTGGAAACTGTAATTTAATAGAATTAGAGCAGTGTTTCCAGGGCTTGACAGCTTCTGGACATGTGGACTTCAGCTCCTAGAATACCCCAGCTAGAAGTTGCTAAGGTTGAGAAACACTGCTGTAGAGAGTCAAAGGGGAAGACTGTTGCTGATACTATTTAAAACATCATTGTTCATTACCTTCTTTTTGAGAGATTGTTCAGTCATGACTTTTTTGTTTTATTAAAGAATGATGAATAAAATTACAGAGTTACAAAGAAAGTAAATTAAGAACAAAAATAAAAGCAAAGGAAATAGAGGAAAATAAAATTTTGGGATTTTGTGTTTTTGTATATTTATATGAATATATAACAATAAAAACATTTTAAACAACTATATACAATATTTCTATCCAGAAGAACATTTGTACAAATACAAGTTTCAGAAAAATGTCAGTACAGCTAATAAACAATTAGAACTGATCTCTTGTCTATAGATCATAACTGAGTCTCCCACAAACACACACTGTGTGTAGAAAACTGGGATTCAGCTTATTAGGCAGGTTACTAGTCTCTGAGCCAACCCCTGGTTTGGAGACCTGGACCAACTAAAAAAGCAGATCACCAGCAGTGGCAGTGGAAAGGGGCTGCGTGCAGAATGGGAGAGAATCTCTGACACAGGTACCTGTCAGCTGTTGTTCAAGCTGCTTTGGATCATGGATTTACCACTCTTTCAGAAGAGCACTAAACCTATGTTAAAAAACCCCACAGGTTTAGTGGTCTTCTGGAAGAGTGGAAAATGTATGTTCCAAAAATGTGTGTGCCGTGAAGCAGCAGGTTTGGGTTGATCTAAGTCTCTGAGTCAGGCATTGGCTCAGAGGCCTGGCATATAAAGAGCTTCCTCTCCCAGTCCAGGCACCTGAGTGCAGAGGGAAAGTTTTCTGTAAAATGGCTACACTCACAAATGGCAAGTGGCCTTCTATAGCCGGTGCTGTTGAAAAAGGAGGGGGATTCGGTCTTCCCTGTATGGGAAATAACAAGCCAGAACAGAAGCAACGACGATTGGCAATGGGGTAGCAGAACCTACGCTGGTTTAGTTTTCTGTTGCCCGCAGACGGAAGGAGAGACCTTTAACTGCATGACGAAAAGACCCTGACCAGTTTGCAGCTTGAACTACATTCCTTTTCCGACAGATAGCAAAGCATGTCCTGGAAGACTTCCTAGAGCAGTGTTGTCCAAACTTGGCCACTTTAAGGTGAGTGGACTTCAACTCCCAGAATTCCCCAGCCAGCAT